ATATATATGTATATATATAATAATTTAACACTATTTATCTGAGGAGCAGAATTCTTTGCATTTAACTCCATCACAGAACTTTCATCTTGAGCAAGCATGAAGGCGACAGTGGAAAGGAAAAATTTCCTCATGAGGAAAAAACCTCCAGCAGAAGCAGGCTCAGGACAAGAGGTCATCTGCTTCGACCAGTTGGGTTTGAGAGGAACAGATACACAATGGCAGGTCAAGAGTCACATGTTAAGATAGAAATAATATTGAATGAAAACTAATCAATTGTAACAATTCATTTAAGGAAATGTGGTGAATTTGTTCTTTGGTAGTCTAATATAGCAGCATAACAATCCAACCCTAACTATAGGATTTATCAAAAAGGAAAATCTTAAGTCCAGTCTTAAAACTGGACAATGTGTCAGCCTCACAGACAGAAACTAGAAGTTGGTTCCACAAGAGAGGAGTCTGATAACTGAAAGATCTTCCTCCCATTCTGCTTTTGGAAACTCTAAGAAACACAAGTAAGCCTGCAGTTTGAGAGTGAAGTGCTTTGTTAGGAAAATATGGAACAATAAAATCTTGAATATGACCGGTGTCAGAGCCTGGTCCGCATTGCCGGCAGTAAGTCGGGCTCGTTCCCAGTGAGAGTTGGACTCCGCCAAGGTTGCCCTTTGTCACCGATTCTGTTCATAACTTTTATGGACAGAATTTCTAGTCACAGCCAAGGTGTTGAGGGGATCCGTTTTGGTGGCCTTAGGATTGCTTCTCTGTTTTTTGCAGATGATGTGGTCCTATTGGCTTCATCAGATCAGGATCTACAGCTTTCGCTGGAGTGGTTTGCAGCCGAGCGCGACGCGGTCGGGATGAGGATCAGTTCCTCCAAATCCGAGGCCATGGTCTTGAGCTGGAAAAGAGTAGAGTGCCCTCTCCGGGTCGGGGAGGAGGTCCTGCCCCAAGTGGAGGAGTTTAAGTATCTTGGGGTTTTGTTCACGAATGAAGGAAAAAAGGAGCGTGAGATCGATAGGCGGATAGGTGCATCGTCTGCAGTGAAGCGGGCGCTGTACAGGTCTGTCGTGGTGAAGAGAGAGCTGAGTCAAAAAGCAAAGCTCTCAATTTACCAGTCGATCTACGTTCCTACCCTCATCTATGGTCATGAGCTTTGGGTTGTGACCGAAAGAACGAGATCGTGGATACAAGCGGCCAAAACGAGTTTTCTCCACAGGGTGTCTGGGCTCTCCCTTAGAGACAGGGTGAGAAGCTCGATCATCCGGGAGGGACTCAGAGTAGAGCCGCTGCTTCTCCACGTCAAGAAGAGCCAGTTGAGGTGGCTCGGGCATCTGATTAGGATGCCTCCTGGACGCCTCCCTGGTGAGGTGTTCCGGGCATGTCCCACCAGGAGGAGACCCAGAGGATGATCCAGGACACACTGGAGGGACTATGTTTCTCGGCTGGCCTGGGAACGCCTTGGGATTCCCCCAGAGGAGCTGGACCAAGTGGCTGGGGAGAGGGAAGTCTGGCCCTCCTTATTTAGGCTGCTACCCCCGCGACCCAACCCTGGATAAGCGGAAGAGAATGGATGGATGGATGGATGGATGGAAGGAAGATCTTGAATATAAGATGGAGCTAGGTTGTTGAGGGCTTTGTAGGTTAGAAGTAAGATCTTGAATTCAATTCTGGACTTGACAGGGAGCCAGTGGAGAAAAGCTAAAATTGGAGAGATATGATCTCTCCTACTAATTAAGACTCTGGCAGCAGCATTTTGGATTAACTGAAGACTTTTTAAAGAAGCATTTGGACACCCAGAAAACAAACAATTGCAATAGTCCAATCTAGACGTGACAAATGCATGAACCAGTTTTTTTAGGTGATTAGTTTTTTTTTTTTGGTCAGCGCCCTTTTTCTTAACATCAAATAAAATCTACACAAATATTTTTATTATTTGCTGCTGAGTTTTAAATCTGAACTTTAAAGACATGAATCGTCTCTAATTGTTTTTTCATAATGAGTTTATATGATGAACATTCAAGTT